GGTTTAACTCTGAACAATTGTATATCTTCAAAAGAAAATACTGTATTTACCTTCTCTATTAGCCATGCAAATGAAACCATTTACAAAGTGGAAAACAGTCCTAATTCCACATTCATCAGAGCCTGTGATACTTCAAACATTGATAAACAGCATCTAATGAGTGTAGTGCTTATAAAATTTTTATTAATGTAGCAAAATTATGCTTTTCTCTTTTAACAATGAATTCGTCTTATCAGTACGGATGCTCACATCGAGCATAAAAAAGGGCACGCATATTGCAGCACCAATGACACCAGACCAATAGTGTCCCCACCAAAGTTCAAATCAAACCTACGCCCTTGGCACCAGCCCAATACATATGAAATGCATATAGATAGGAAACTCATGTGACCCTGCTCTTGGCTTACACCACAGTTATTCCTTTGTGCAAAACAAAAGAGAAGCTTGTTTGATTTGCTTTGTGCTAAACCATCAGGCTGTAACATGAGAAGAGAAGCTTCTTTTATTCTCCTTTCACAGCAAGGCTGATGCACCTTGTCTTTGCTGTGGCGCTTGCTGTATCTGGCTTGCTCCAGCCTTGAATAATTAAAAACTCTAAGTGTCAATACTCATTTGGGACTTAACCGACACATTTGACCGTCTGACTGGTCAGAACGAGGACAATGGTCCATTTTTCAGGGCTTGTTAAGAAATCTGTGTCAAATGTCTAATGTGAATACTGAATGAAAAAGGATCATTCTTGTGCACATGTTAGTACTCTCACTCTCACACCTTTACTGAATGGTGAATGTTGACACCTACTTTACTTAGTAGATTAAAAAAAGATTAAATGAGGAAAATTTAAGCCAGAAATATTGCAGTCCTCGTGGGTTACACTTGAAAAGTCTTTACGACTGTATGAAACGAAAAAGACATCATTCTTGAACAAAACTAACACTGAAGACATTTTCAGTGCACACACTTTAAAATCTGAGATGGCTCAAATTTTGTATTCATGTTGCTGTTTATTTAATCAGAGGTTAAATGTATTGAATAAACTTTTAAATCTCTGATTTCTGAACAACAAGGTTTGCATCCAGATACATAGGAGATGTGTCCATCTGTTTTATCGATTTTGTGGTAGATTAAGCTGAGGTTGGGCTAAATACAGCTAGATATTAGACTATTTTGGATATGACTAATTTAGGCTAATCTCCCAATAAATGTAAAACCTTAAACCTTATTCTTTATCTCATGTTCCTTTTGTCAAAAGATGCTGATAGACTCATTAAGTAGCTGTAGGATGGTTATTTCCTTTTGTTGGAACAGCTACATGCTCTTCCTTATTTTTTTAGGTCCATACTTTTAAGAAATTTGTTCTGTGGTTTTATTTGCATTTGATATAATAAAGATACTGCTTTAAATATTAAATGATTTTAATAATTTTATCTTAAATTTGTGATTCTTATCTTTGAAAAAATCTATATCAAGTTATTTTCTGCATAATAATAAGTATGTATTTTAGTTATCTGAAGTCACATTGATAATTAAAACATACTTATTGGAGGAATCGAAGTAATAGAAAACTAATTTATATCACTAACATCACCCAGTGTCAACAGATGCCTTTTTTTTTTACCTAAAGGGAACAATGTGCAATTAGAAATGACACATGTGAACCAATTATTATATTCCAAAAATAAAAGAAAGTTTAAGAAATAACTTGTGCTATCTTCTAAAAACAATTGCAAATGCCATTTTGTGGAAATGGTCTCATATTTGTACAACACAGCACATTTTATTTGCTGAAAGAAAGCCATGAAGCAGATGAAGAGGGACTCAGGCTCCTCTCAGAAGATGGAGAGGGACTTGGGCTCCTTTCAAAGGGTGGAGACAGGATAGGGGTCCCCACAGAGGACGGAGACGGGGCAAAGGTCCTCACAGAGGATGGAGACAGGTGAGTTTTTTTTTCTCCAGGCAACCAAGTTGGGTTTCAGTGAATCCTACAGGGACCCACCAAAACAGGATTTAGTGAACTGATATAATGAATGTACACTATTGTAAAGTTTATCTAATATGAATCCTAGCATCTAAATACACACCAAAACGTGTTGTTTGAAGGCAAAGTTAATCCTATGAAGTATTTAGCAGAGAAACAAAAACATTAACCATGGACAAAGAGAGAGGAACCCTCAAGAAAACCTTGCGGCTGGAGCTGTATTAGCAGCAGTAGATGGTGAAACCATAGAGTGATGGGTCACAGGGGAAGGATGCTGCAGAGCAAGCTAAAATAAGATAGATATTCTAAGTATAAAAGATCATTCACCAGAATTGTAAAATACAAGACATAGTTGTATTAAAGCTGAGAGCCATCAGATTTTATTTTAAAACAGTTTGCCTGTTGCCTAGAAGAGTGAAAGCCACAATTACAGGACACAGACCCTCCAAAACAAGGGTCTGACCTTGTGCTTGTATGGGGCATTTTTCTATCTGAAACAGTACAGAATCATCCTATTAATGACAATTACTCATGTCTCTTCTGTTAATGCACTTTATACAGCTAACAATTGGTATGAGATGAAAGCATAAAATAATTTCTACTGACATTTTAAATTAAAAAGTTACTATATTGTAAATCTTAACCTTCCCAAAATGTGTCAGTTTGCTAACAGAATGTGACATCATAATACCATTAATTTTTTCAATCTATGGTATATCATTTTTAGGTAATGTGTAATAAAGAGGAAAATATGTTTGTTTGAATGGAAGGAAACAAGAAATGATATAAAGGTATACTTACTGTAAGGTTGTTTTCTGAGGCCAGCAGTGACAATGTATCGATGAAAAAAGTTGGCCAGTGGAAGCAGGTGGAAGTTTTCAGTAAAAGAACATTTCCCCATTTGCAAATAGAGGCTCTGATCCATCCTGCTTTGAACTTGAGTTGCATCCAGAGAGAGCAACTAACTGGCAAAGGAAGAATTGGATTCAGATTCTATACTTCTAATTTTGGATGAGGAAGACATGCCAATGATGAAAATCTGAAGCTGGAAACAGAATGGCCTTTACAAAAAGCCAACAATCATTTCTCTAAGTAAGAATATTTTTGTACAAATTTTCTACAGTTGGAAAAATAACAGGAATGTTTTTGGACAAAAACACTCCTAAACTGATGGTTAAAACAACAGGTCTTATTCTTGTTTTTCACTCTGCTCTGAAAAGTTTATGAAACCCTTCAGTTTGTTCCCCACTTGTGGTACGGAGTGTACTCTAATTTTCATAACACCTGGTCCCACTCATAATGATAAGTTAAGTTTTCGGTTTCATCATCCCTCCATGTTAAGAGGCCGGTTGATTCAGCAGATGATTGCACTTCAATGTGGAAATGCAGAGACAACTCTGACCCACTCCACCTGATTTAATGCTGCAGCTGGATCAACCCACAGAGCTTAATGTGGACGGATTCTCTGAGCAATCAGCCGTTCTGAAGCGGTGCTCAGGAGAAGGCAGCAGAAGCCACAGTGGGAGGTGAAAAGGGGAGGTTCTTCTATTTCACAGATTAGTCTAAAATAATCTTTCTGCTCCAGAGTGCTAAACAACATTTCAGTTGCTTCAGGCAGTTGATCCTAAACTGAACCTCACTGACACAAGCTTTCAATTGCTTTCTTGGAGACAGATAAGATGTTTTTTTTTCTCAGCAATGTATTTTAGATCTTGATCCAAATAGCTTTAAAATATATATATTGAAATTATAAGGAGGAGTTATATTCTGACTTAGTGTTTAGTGTCTGCTGAGATGCAAAACATGACCTAAAGTCTGATTTTGCTTAAGATCTTCTTTGATGCTCTGTAGAAATGCCAGAGTTGCTAATGGGTTGTAATATGATGGACAGGCATGCTGGGAGAAACTGACAGATCTGTTTTGAGGGGGCATCACTGAATGTTCTAAAGGTTTCAACATTCATTCTTTAATTAAACATGGAGTACATACAATTCTAATTTTCCCAGCATATATATGCAGCTGAATATAGATATTTTAAAAGAGTTTTCAAAAGGATCCCTGATATTTTTTTGGCTCACCATTAAAAACTATTCATACAAGTAAAATAAAACAAAACTTTCAAAAAAATATTAATTACTATAAGATGCCCTTTAAAGATATTGAGAAAATCTAGATATTAATATTATAGTTTATAAGCTTAAGGCAGGTAATTTAAATCCTGAGATATGCAATTAATAATTGCATCTATTCAAGGCACATATTAAACACTTTGTTTCTTTTTGCTATCACAGGAAAGTAAAAGAAGCATTGTTGGTTTCCAAATGTTTGGCTCAGTCATATTGCAGGGTGATTCCTATTAGGATGAAATTACTTCCCCTACTAAAAAAAAACAGTTTATATCTTAGAATGTTTGTTGGTTTGAAATGGTTGAACAGGCTGGTAGCTGGTCTTAAATTGTCAGCCTGGTCAACCTAGAGGTCAATTAAACTTAATAACTTAACATGACTGATTAAGACCCACTAAGACCAGCCAAGACCAACCTGATCAGCTAACCAACTGACACTTGACCAACCTTTAATGTTGAAATGTGGTTTTAAATTATGCCTGTTTTAGTTTCAAATACTGTTCCTTAAAAAAATATGAAACATTTGTTTTATATATATATATATATATATATATATATATATATATATATATATATATATATATATATATATATATATACACAACATTAAACAATAGACAACATATAGTATATAGCCGCATACTATATACACATTAAGCTGTGCATTAATTTCATTAATTTAACACGGGAGGTCTGGTGATGCTACGTTGGTGTAGCTTCTAGTTTCTGAACGGGAGAGGGAGAGATGTAATGTCAGTGTCACAGGGGTCTCTGGGCCTTGTTGATAAGGCAGGTAGCGGACGGGAAGAAATTTTTCTTGTGGTGTGAAGTAGCCTCCTGCCAGAGGGAAGTTGTCAGGTTTATTCAATGATGATTAAAAAATTAATGCATGTGCATATAGAACATTAAAGAAATGAGATGCTTAACTTTGTTTACTGCAAACTTTCATGCAACTTTGGTAGAAAACTGCTGATGTTTGTGCAAGGATAATCACAGTCATCGGGAGACCGCTCTATTCTGTGATTCAATCAAGAGGAGCATTTTGTCCTATGACCCGATCAATTTCCTTGTCAGAAGAACACTGTTCTGTAACCCACCCCATGTGTTATGATCTGCTAATAAAAGGCTTCTGCTGAGGAGACCCATCAGAGAGCAGATGTGGCTGAACGTGGCTCTCTCCTCCAGCAGGACCTAAAATCCCTATGCTGTGCGGACTTTCATTTATCATGAACCTACAATTTTGAACGTAACAGAAGTGACTGAAATAGTTTGTCGCTGGGGTGCGAGGGATCAGCCACAATCTTCCCTGCACGCCTCGGAGTCCTGGAGGTGTACAAATCCTGGAGAGATGGAAGATTTCACTCAACCACTGATGAGCTGTGAGTCGGAGACATGTTTTCCCAGTTTCATGTGCTGCTTCCTTAGACTTAGACTCAAACAACTTCTTTCTTCATTTTGAATAGACAGAGTATATACAAAACAAAATTACATTTAGTACAGCTTTTCAGACAGAAAATAAACATTTCCCTTTTTTTTCTTTTTTTTTTTTCGTTTAGACATTCCATGAAGTGATCAAATGTAAACAGTGTGGGAGAAAAAAAACATGGTGCAAAAAATGCATTGATCTGGAAGTTCAGAGCATGAAAGGAAAAGTCAGATGAGCAAGGAATGATTAATGGATCAGTATCTATGTATACCTAAAACTGACACATTTGCGGTGATTTAATTAATTTAGCATTAAAAAAATGAAAACAATAATTTTCTTCGTGACCACTGAGTCCGAGATTAGACCACACCTCTTTCCTGACATCTTAAGGCAGGGACGTCACATCAGCCTAGTACCATTCTCCCTGCTTTACATGTAAAATCAATGGGAATTATTACTAGAGACATCTGCTATCATCAACAACAAATTCACCAGAGCTATAGTTAAACTGACAATGCCTACATGCATGGCAGTTGGATGTTGTAATACATCGGGTAAAAGAAAAAAAAGAAAAGGTGTTATTTCATCTTTCTGAATCATGATCCTCCAAGGACGTGTTCGGCTTTGGATTGCCAACTTGAAGAGGGAGAATTTGCCATCGAATTACTGGCCAGAGAGAAAACATGTTATATGTAGGCAGCATTTCAAAGAAGAATGTTTGCAAGATGACTTGGATAACAGCACGTTGTGACAAACATCAGATACAGCACTGGGACTTACTCAAAGGCCGATACCGCACCGCTGCAGTTGTGTTCTTTGATAAACATGGATGTCTCCAGTAAAGCACATTCGAATGAAAATTACACTTAATTAAAAACCCTTATCATTTATTGAACAGTATGTAATGATTTCATATTTAAAGTACTTTCAGAAGTTTGATTCTGAATATGACCAGACTTTTCCTTTAATATATATGTTGCAAATATGCCGTATTTTTTTTATTTGTTGTTCTCAGTGTGATGCAGAGTTTGTGACATAATTTGGAGTTTTTTTCAACAGTTCAGTTTCAAAAGTGCTTTGGTAGAAGGTGGTGGAAAGGGTGGGGGCAGGTGGCATCTCCTCTTCCTCCGAAGAAAGGAGGAAGAGAAAGTACATGCGCTTCTGTGCCTTTTTTACCAGTGAGGTGGTGTTCAAAGTCCAGGTGAGGTATTCTGTGATGTGCACCCCCAGGAATTTGGTGCTGCTGACCACCTCTACTTTTTGTTTATCTAGAGGTCTATAAATTAGTATCTCTCTAAAACCTGGGTTTGATCCAGGTACAGATTCTATAATGGGTTTTTTAGTCATCTTGGACTATGCTTACATACTTGATCATAAAGTGCAATTGTTTAAGTCATAAAATATATGTTTTTTAATTATTTGATTTGGACCAGTTTTATTTACTCTAACTCGGTAACATATACATTTTTTTAGACCTCTAAAAGAATCTGTTGACCTTTAGAACGAAATAACCCCGTAGCACCTAAGATAGTGTTTACAGTGAGTTCTGAGCAAGTTGTTTTTCAGTAAAACTAATTATACGGAATTAATTTCACAGTAGGTTAAGAAAAATGTCAATGTACTACAGTGGCTTCCAACAACCTGACTGAAAAACCATTTCTATTAAATTTTTTTTTACAGTAAACTGTTATGAGAAGCTCATGAAAAGATATTTGAAACATTTACCAAAGTCGAACAAAACTACTGGATGTAACACTTGTTAATCTATAGGAATATTAGGAAGTTGTCTGTTTTCCTTTTGAGGGGGAGATGGTGGGATGTAAAATATCTGGTTTTAGCAGCATTTGGGTTTGTGGGTGAATATTATACATTTTACTGACAAATACTGATAAATTAAAGTTCAAAGTGTTATGTGCCAGGACATGGCAACATGCACTGTTGTGATACAGACACGAACATGCTATTAAAAACATTTGTAGCCATGTTTCACTGTTGTTTAATCCTTCTGTCACTGGACTTTCGAGTCAATTCTCTTTACGGAGTTGAAATGAATTTCTCCTACTTGTAATCCCAACAAAGTAATACACACAATAATCCACATACTCAGGTAATATTATAATTCATTGTCTGGTATTCTGTTTTTCCAGGGAAGAATTACAGCAAACAAGGAACAAATCCCAACCTGCGCTCTAAAAACACTTCTGTTTCATTTGAAGTTAAACAGAAATAAATATAAAGGGTAAGTATAGTCAAAGATCAGATGCCACTACAAGAAACTTGCTTAATGCAAAGCATATACTATGTTATTTTGCCATAGAATACACACTTAGTTGCTAAAGAGTACTGTTACAAACTAGCATTCAAAATAACCATACATGTCCTTAAAGCTATAAATTATTGAAAAAAATAACCCGCAATTATTTTCTTGTTTGGAAAAAATAAAAATAGCAGCACGGCCAAGTGAGTTTTCTTTGCAGTTTGGTTTACTTAAATTTTTTATTTTAATTTCAGATTTTTTAAGTTTCAAAATATCGTCTGTCAAGCAGATTATCTGAGGACAAAGTCACTTCATAGGCAACGTAGAGAATTTTCCTGGTTGGCAACCCAGCGCTGGAGATTTTCTGTTTTTTTATATCAATTTTTTTTTTTTGTATTTAATAGACCAAATATTTCACACCACCCTAAACCATTCTATAATCACAGACTTCTATAGTTCAGAATTCTAGCTGAACTACAGTTCTACAGGTGTTCAAATACTTATTTGCAGCTGTATAACAAATAAATAGTTAAAAAATCATACATTGTGATTTTATTTTATTTTTTTAGACTGCTGTACACAAACACTAGCAGCCACAATTACAACTTCAGGGGCTGTTCAAATACTTATTTTCCTCACTGTATTTACTCAATATATGGTTATTTGATTTTTCTATCTTTTTAATTTTTTTAAAATAAAAATAAAAACCCTCAACAATGATAAATAGTACTTGTTCTGAACATGGCTAGTGTCATGTTTGTAGCTGAGGCCACAAAGCAGAAATCATTACTTACACGTTGCTTCGTTCAATAATAATCACCTATGTGTTAATCAACACTGCTATTTATTGATTGTTATTAATAAAGGTCAGGTGTGTCAGATTTATTGAAAAATACTTTTTTTGAAAAATCTAATTTGTCCAAGAGATACAAATCTATAACCTCAAAGAGTGTTCTGTTTTTGCTTTCAATTAATCAACTCTGACCACATAAATTGGTCAAATTATTTATATGTAGTATTCTGTAACTTCTTGTGCTCAAGATGAATCTTAGATAATCTTAGATACACATGTGAGGATATGATTGAATTAATGTAACGGAAAGCATGTCTCAGAGTTAAAAAGTGCATATATACAGTACAAAATACTCTTATTCTTACTCATAGAGCCCTGTTGTGCATGATGTGACTTCAGCCGGTCTAAATACTACTGACAACTGAAAACATATCAATTTCACACTAATGGATTTCTTATGTTTCACAGTAAAGCGTGATAGGTGAATAAGAGCTTTGAAAAAAATCTCACCTTTCTTCTCTAAACCCCTGAATAAGAGTTGAAAAATCAAAAAAATCAGCGATAAAAACAAATAATCTAAAAACAAACTGTACTCACCAATAACACTAATGTACATCATTTACTAAGCCACAACATAATGACTTTTATGCTATCAGAAATCCTTGGCTCATTAAAGTTATGACATGAAAGTAATATGGTATTGATAATCTTCTTGTAGCCTTCTGCTTCCTTCTCCGCAGTCATTAATTTCTGAAACAGAAAGCTTTATTGATAAGTTATGAAAGTTTTCCCATTTAAAATGATTTAGTAATGCATCTGCTGTTTTGTAATTTAACACATCACAAATAAGGCTGCTGGTATAAATTGTCCAAAGTGACTCAATAATACAATTGTGCTGTGCAATGCTCACACTAAGCAGTGACTGTATAACGTCAGCTTAGTATAAACAAATGTATTACCTTCATGAAATGAAGTAGTTAATAACATTAAGACTATTATTTTTTCACGGGTCTCTGTTCTGTATAATAGTCTGTGATGTTGACATCTCATCAGACATAGTATTACCATTATTTGATGCCTCATCAGTTCAATGTAGTATAATGCAAAGACAGTATATGAAACAAAATATTTTTGTAAAAAAAAATTCCTACAATTTGAAGTCCTTCAGAAAAATCATAGATAGTTTTAAGGAACACCAGCCATGCATTGCCTATAGCTATATGTTGTGAGTTAGCATGTAGCAATTCTTGCTGAACATTGGTAGATCACAGGGATCTGAGCCTTAGCAATGTGAGGTGACTAAAGAGTAGTTGCAGGCAGAAGTCTTATTTCACAGGGGGTTAAGTTAATCGGTAATCATACGATTTACAATAACTTCTATATTGTAGACCACACCATACAAGTGACCTATCCACAATGTACAGCCTGAAACTTGATGAAAATAAATAAAACTTTTAAAGAAAAATCATTGCTTCAACACTAATTCCTCTGTATTCTTGTGACTAAAAGCATTTCAAGGAAGCCAAACATTTAATTGTTAGGATTCCAGTTTGTGTGGGTTGCTTTTGTGTTTTCCTCTCTCCACAACCAGGTGGTGCCCTGTCCTCGTTGGGCCTCCCTGCACACCTGTGGCTCGTTGGTCATTACCAGAGGAGTACTTGAGCAGGGGGCTGTCAAGACCTCGATGCCAGAGTGTTTGCCAGTATTGGGTACTCTAGCCAAGCTGAGATTAGCAGAGCGTTGTTTCTCTGAGTCTGATCTTGTTTTTTGTCTTTGTTGTCCGGCAGGAAGCCTTCCTGTGTAACTGGATAGCCTGGACCTTCTCCCCCTGGAAGGATTTACTGAGTTCACACTGAGCAGGAAAAAATCTCCACATGATCCGTTCAAGTCCTCATCTGGAAAACCAAGTGACAGTCCGCTCCTGTACTCCTAAGGGTCCAACGTATGTCAGCCTGTCTGCTCTCCAATGAGTTCCCTCTTCTCTGAATTAAACCCCCACGAACTGGATTAGAGGATTAACAAAGATCCCCCCCAAACATGAGTTTCTCTCCAGCATTTTCAAGCCTGAGTAATTTTTCCTACAGTACCTGAACTAATCACTGTGATCTCCCCTTTAGACTTTCCGGTTCCGGTTCATCAGTCCACTGAGTTCCAGCTTCTTCTTCAGTGTTTTTCTACATTCAATAAACCTGTTAAACTTTTACCCTTGGTCTCTGAGTGGTTCTCTGCATGTGGGTCAGATCACTAAAACCAATTATGACAATAATGACAACAGCAACCATACATAGTTGATAGCTAGAGATCAAGTGACGGCTCTCTTTCAGCATAATGACATACATCTTAGGTGCCCAACTGTTGAAAAACACTTACCAAATTATTTTAGATACATTTTTTTGTCATAACTCAACTTGTAGTCACCAAAGACATGCTGAGATAAAAAAAAAGAGAAAAAGTACATTAAGCAAATGACACTTACCAGTTTTGTAAATATCAAGTTTTTATGTTTTCTTACTGTACTTTAGTTTTTGTATGTGTTACTGTTAAGTTTGTGTTTTCACTTTTTCGGACATTTGAAAGATTTTCCTCTGTGCACCGCACAGGTGTAACACAAAAATTGTAATGCAGGGCTGTAAATTACCTTCACATGGAAAAATAGTGCAGTTTGTTGACATAAAGTATCTATTGACAATAACTGATAGGGAAGGTAAGGTTTAGAGTGTCAGCATTCAAATTGTCATATCTTTTTTAATTCTATTTCAATTTCAACAAGATTGATATCATTTTAAAGCTTGGACTCCATTATACAGGATCTGTACAGTAAATACAGTATACAATACAATAAATACCTCTAAATGCCCCTGGGTAGACTTGTTCCTAGTTTTGTCTGTCGCAATTGCTTAACCAATACACCAAAGATTTTGTTTTTTCCAAAATAATTTAGTAAAACATTTCAGGAAGACACTTTTTTCTATATATGCAACTTGAACATGTTTTCTACAAAATCTAAATCAATTGTAGTAAACTATGGCTGCTTTCAGCATTGCTGCAAGCAGTTGCTTACTGTATGTCAAAATGCAGTTTAACTTATCTTTAATGTGCTATGAGGGACACAAAGTTTTAGGTGTAAACAAGCGCTAAGATTTTTGTTGGTAAGATTCTACCTCAAACAACATTTATCACAATATATCTGGGAAAAGGTTTTGTAAAAATCTAGGTGTGGAAGACTTAAAAGTTGTCAGCAGGTATTTTGCCAACATGATCAGATTACATGATCTCAGGGTGCTTGGATCAAATGCTAGAGGATTAAGATCAGAAGAACCAAAAGTCAGAAGCCAGTATTGAGCTAAAGTTCATGCTGAGCGTTTATCTTTTCTATAGGCAATCAGTAGAGCAAGTATTTGTAGAAGCAGCGAGGGAAAGGGACTGGACTGGACAAGATATTCTCTGAGGTGGGATTCATACTGAAAGCTGATCCGTATCATCAATCTGTCATTTAGACAAATGTATCTTCGGAGAACCCCCTCGACCTGGTTGGTGGTAAGGATTCTGACGTCAACTATCCACCTGTTCTAACAGGATATGAAAGCCTAGAGTGAGGCTATCTCATCTCTCAAAACATACAAGGTCAGATTTTTTTACTTATATTTATTTCTGAGAGAAAATGACTTTCAACATCACCTTTGCGTACTGTGTATTCATAATAATAAAAAAAAAAAGATAAATGCAGATTGAAATGTAGAAAATGTAAATCCATTTATTGTACCATAATGGGGAAATACATTCTTTGCATTTTAACCCATCCCCTTGGAGAGCGGTGTGGGGTTAAGGGTCATTTCTAGGGACCTGGAGTGCAGGCTGGGGGGATTGAACTGTATACTTGCAACCTTCTCAGAGCACAAGCGCACTGCTCTAATCAGTAGGCCAACCCTCCCCCTCAAAAACAATGTAAAAGAGATTATATGGTTGTGAGTTGGGTGAAGAGAATTATTATTTTTTTTTTTTTTTGATGGAGACAAACTCTACTTTAAATTGGCACTTGAAGCTGCATTGATAATAAAATACTTGGGAGTATGGCATTGTTCCGTCAGGGTTGTCAGTCTTGCATGGGCTCAACACTGTTTTCACTCCCAGCCAGTGACAGAGCTTTCCCCTTGTCATCCTTTATCTCTTCTGCTTGTTGTGGTTTGGGGTACAGCTCTAATGTTATCAGCAGAAAAGCTGCTTGTAGTCTGGCAGAATTTGCTCCAGCCTCCCAAGCACCACTGGGAGAAATTTAAGCATTGGAAGATTCAGATATCTTTTGCTGGCTTTGAAGCATTTAGGACACGCATACATTCTCTGTTCATAAATGATCAAACTGTAGGTTTATGTTTCACTTTAAGAAACATGGTAAGACATAATTAAAAATGAGTCACAATGTTTACTTCTATTTTCTCTCTCTGAGTACTGTCATGAAAAGACGAGCAAAAAATGCAAAAACGGAGCAAAAATGTAATTTAACTTCCAGCCATCCCTTGAAAAAAGGAAGTGTTTTGGAAGCAAAATTATGTCCAATTAAGTTTAAGTTCATTGAAATGTCTAAAAAATAAGTCATGCACAGAAAATGGCAAAAAGTATAATGTCAGTGGGGCGGAAGACAACGCCTGGCCAAGAAGTGTCCCCATTTACTTATGTCTGCAACCCTAGAAATGAAGTCTAAGTATTGTAAATTAAGGCTTATGTTAATTACCATAATGATGATTTGTTTAGAGGCTTATTATTTCTGTCCAATTTACCCTATTTTCTTCCTTAGTTCAGCTTGACTTTCTGTAAGGTGATCTAATTTTCCATTTTTCTCTTAAAACACAACTGTTTCTATAGCACCCACATTAGGTGTCACCTATAGCCTTACAATAATGTCCTGGATGAGTCACTGATTAAGCTGAAAATGTTTTTCTCTGACAGGCCAATTTAAAAAAGAAAATCTCAGTTATAATTAACTGTAAGTACTATTGTACCCCAAGGAGCATGTTATTCAATGAACGCTTGTGTGCAAACAGAAAGCAGCAAAACTGTTTTATTTTTAATTGGCAACAGTTGAACATGAACCCGATGCTGTTCTTCAAAAAGGCATAATGCCAATAATAAATCTAAAATTGGTATATTTTACTCGATCAGTTCTCCTGTTAGTATTTTCTGTTATGCTTCTCTGATATAAATGACATTGTTTTCACAGAAAAATTCAAGTTTTTCTCCAGTAAATCCTAAAACATACACCATGTAATGCCAGTTGAGATAGAAGAGAAATGCATATTCAGTTATGTTGACTTACAATTTTTGCAACGCATTATTAGTGGCGAAGTTCTTAAGCAACTAAAGAAGTTGTGTTTTTAGGAAAACAACAAGTTACTAATGCTGCATCCACATGAATGAGCAGACAAAGAAGTAAAATTCTCATGCATACCATCTTAAGAAAAAAAAGAGAGGTTCATTATTTTATATATTAACTAGCAGGTTGTGATTCCTTTAAAAGGTAATTGGGATTGTTTATAACTAGTATTGGCAGGTCAAAACCTAAATAAACATAAGCCTAGAAATCAATATTTGTTATCTGCAGATTTATATTTTTTACTTTGTAAAATATTGAGTGTTTGGGGCATCATGATTTATTTTTTATTTTGTAAAGATGGTCAACCTAGGCAAACAGAAAAGAAATCATATAACGTATTAAATTCGGCTTTCAAACCCTTTTCATATGACTGCCTTCTAATTCTTTACAAGTGTAGTTGGAGGCGCTGAAGAGGTAAGACATGGTAAAACAGACAGAGGTGGTTATAAAAAGTTCTCATTGTACAACGTCGGCATAAGGTGTGTGAAGTTAAATGCAAAGCTGCATGCATTTAATATTTGTTTATATTCTACAAATTCCAGCAGTTCTAACACATGATTTAAGATTAGTTTTATACTGACAGTTAACTTCTTGTTTTCTTTTCTGGAGAATATACAAAACAGCATAATAACCAGACACTGCAAGTGGAGACTTCATAATAAACGGTTATTTGAAACAAAATTAAGCCTCTGGCTTGTCGGTGTGCAACTTTGTTTTCCCCAAATGTAGAGGTATAGCTACTTCTTATGGCAATGTACCTGTTTTTATTCCTGTTTTATATTTTTTTTCTGATTTTTTTTTTTTTTATAATTTCCAGGTGATCAATCAAACACATTGTGGCATTTGTAGTTAGAAAACAAAACTCTGTTTAAAAAAATAAATAAATCTGCAAATCAAACATACTAAATCCAAAAAGCAAATAAGGTAATTTAATCTGGAAGATGGGGAAAAAAAATTAACAAACAAAAAATAAATACATGTGCAACCAGTCTGTTCCTCACCAGTATTCTATGCATAATCCAAAAATGTCTACAAATCTGAATACTGCTCTCTTTAAATAGGGTAAGAATAAACATTTGTGATAACATTCGTGTTATCACAGATCCTTCCTACCAGCAGCTGTAAGACTTTTTAACCATCACTGTTCCCAACAACCTCAATAAGTTGATACATTCATGCTGATTTTTGCACCGTTTCTATCTTAGTCAGCTAAATAACATGCTGCTGTCATTTCTTTTTTTTTTTTTTTTTGCACATCTCTTGCGTTGCTGCTATTTTTCAC